ACGATGCCCAAGAAGATAGCCATCAGCTCCCGACCTCCAATTGTTTGCACCTAATAAGAACCTGTTTCCCGGGAACACACGCGCAGCTGACCGCAGATTTGTCGTCTTGACCACAGCGCCGTCTGTCGACATCCGATTGAAAGCTTCGGGGCGACACGGGTGGTCATCGCCCGTCGTCCTTCACCACAGTAATTTGTTGCAAATAAGTATAGCTTTGCTCCGTTTATGATAATGTGAGACAGCAGTTTAGGAACGCGTTGGTTTGATGAGACTTTCATCAGCTGCGTTAAACGGGCCCCAAGCCGAGCTGCTAACCGCACATCGCGTCCGGCTCGGGCCTGCGTGCCACAAAAAAACGAAAGTCACCTGTCATAATATTTGCCTGGAGGGACAGCGTAATACTACGGGCCACTGGGAGGAAATGATGGTACGAGGAGCAGACTCGCTCTCCACCAGAGCAGCCTTAAGATCTTAATGAGACAGTGCGGCTGTCATTAGGGCTCATCTTCTCACGTGCGTATCGAGCCATCGCTCTGCCCGATTTCGACCTCCATCAATGAGCTCGTTTTTTATTCTAGCGGTATACAAATTAGATCATTAAGATGGTTCGGATAGGAAACTCACATTGCCTGCGGAGAGTGTTGGTAAATGATAGATGCCTCGTTGAACGTTGCGTGAGTAATTTTAGATGGAAAGACGGCGTAAGAAATGTCAACGCGCGTAAATTGACTTATTTGTGGTTTTACACTCATTAGGTAAGGAATAAGTCACGAAATTTCAGGATTTGAACTATTACTTTTCTTTCAACTCTATATTCAAGGAGTAGCGGCAATTTTCGCTAGGAATCGCGCACATTCCTTGTCTCTTCATGCGCTAAACCATATTTGTTAGTGACTGCAATTTTACTTTAATAAACACTTAACTTTAACTTTTCTTTGGAGTCCACCTTACTATGAATATTGAAAACTCCCAAAGGTCACACAATACAAGAAAATTACGAGAATATTTGCATCTTGATAAGAAATAAGTATTTCGTTACTATTATCCTTAAATAGTAAATTTGTTAACATCGAAGACTTAATCATTGGGGAAACATAAGTACTCGGAAACGAACATACCAAATAATAAAAATATTTACATACATTCCCTTATATCGGAAGAGTCACCTAACTTTCGTACCTCCTGTCATTTCTGAACGTTTGAAGGTATTGCAAAACAGTTTTCACGAAAGTTCACGAGAAAATAGGGCTAATAGTTACATGAGTTCATTAATACTTTTTTAAATCATTTGTATTATACGAGATACAGAGGTGACTATTTCTCATATCACACTGTACTTAGTTTCAATATATCATAACGGGCGTAAAAAGACGATGATCATGTGAATGGCGACGCACAGAACTGTTGTATTTATATCTTGCGTCATGTCATTAAAAGGGCGGTATGCTTGACTCTGATAAGCGTTCGAGGATTCAAGGTCGATAACAGAAACAGGTAAAATAAAAGGGTGAAATATTCAATGAAAATTAGGGAATTGTGGAACTTGAAAAATAACTATACTCCGATTTAAACGTAGTGGCACTTGAAGATCACGAGCTGGAAATGAAGGGGAATATTATTGTCCTATCGGGAACTTCGTTGCGACTTAAAGTTATGGTATTTGAGCTCCCAATTGGATGAAAATTTCCCTCTCTCCTTCTAGGTCGTGACCTTGAAGTGCCATTCCTTTAAAATCGGAGTATACTCTTTCTAGAAGGTTTGTTCTTATTAGACAATGTGGATTGAAAACAGCAATGAGTATTTTCCAAACCAAACATAAATCATCAAAACAACAAATGTCATATATGATATGTTACAATTTATATGTAACAAGCGATACCAATCTGGGGTAGTAAGTTGCAACGAAGAAGGGAGCATAATGGAGATAAATTTTCGCCGTTATCAATTAGAATAAATTTGGGAGGGTGCTCTCTTACAGTTATTCTATTTATTTTCATTCGCGTACTACAAAAGCCACGATTTCTCTGATGCAAAATACTGAAAGAGAAGACATATTTGCGTCCGAAGAGCTTACAAGTCGCGAGGATTGGTTGAAAAGTACTGAATAGGTTAGAACAGATATTACACTATCATAATTTGTGTGATTTTGAGTTAGCAAAAAATCCTCATTCTTTATTGATTTTAATTAATTAATTTATTAATTTTGTACGTACTAATGAGAGAAGAGTATTTTGTGCGTTTTTTAAACTTCTGGAATACCTAACCCAACGAGTTTAATTCTGAGAACAGATGGAAACGAACTTTTTTGGTAAGAATCGATATGAAATTGTTCGCTCCCGTGTAATAAAACCTAATAGCAATTGCAAATCAGATTTTGGCTGTTATCCCTCATCGTACCCTTCGTAAAGATGCATATTTCTGTGGAGAAATTATGCATGTATACAATTTATAAATGGATGATTTTAACTGTCAAAATTTAGGATGAGTGAAAAGAGGATACTTGTGTAGCATACATGCTTCTTTCTTTCACTGAAAGAAATGATCAAAAGGGGTTTGATACCGGCCGCATGTAAGAGCGTTTTCTGACGGGACAGACGGATTGCTGAAAGAACTTTCGGTAACAAGGATCCACAGAACGTGGATTCTAATTACACAACAAATTAGAGAAAGCAATTTACTTCATGTAGGTGCAAGAATTATCCCCTTTTTTGGTGTAAGGGACTCACAAAACGATTTTTTTAAACGCCTTTCTTTCTGAAGTATCACAATACTTTCTCTATACTACGTAATTATAGTAACTAGTAAAGAGAATCATTTCATACGGACAGTCTTTCAGATATTATATTCGCCCATTGATTGTTAGGCACTAGGCTAAAATTATGAGAGCAACTTCTGAGTGTTTTTGTATTTTTTATTTGTATAAAATTCGTGTTGAATATATTTTTTCTAGTAGTGAAATATCAAAATAAACTTTTCATATCCAAACACCCTTCACCCCTACAAAATAATCTTCTAATCCGACAGGTGGCATAATTTTTATTTCGTGCAAACAGTATATACGTGTAAAATTTTATCCTCGCCTTGTGGATAATAAGAATGATTTAGAATATGTTAATGAGTGAAATCACACTTCACCGGGCCCCCATCATAACACACCTATTGAGTCAGATTGACTAGAAATATTATATAACGAATAATGATAATATAATATTATTGTTTTTTCTAAAAGTCATCATTTTGTAACCGATTTAATTTCGACATTAAGAAACTAATGATCTTTTCTTAAATTAAATAATGTTCTTATTCAATGTGTACAACTCTGTTTAATTCTACTACAATTTATTTTAAATTCCTATATCCGGATCCTTGTAACTAAAATTTGGATAAATCTTGTTTTTATGGATAGTAAATGTCTTTCTCTTACACGTTGTGTAGTCGCATCCATGTTTTTGTAGGTCCTTAATATCTAAAAATTGATTGATATCAAAATGTCTGTTTGAGGTAAACGCTAGCGTCTAAACTGTTCAGCCGATTTTTTCAAAATTGACATTCTTCGATTGAGTTAAATGAACTCGGGATCTTTCAACTGATATTTTGTCTTGAGGGATACTTTACATTAAGTATGAAATATATTTGTACAGGTTTTTCAAAAATGGCTTCAAGTTTTTGGATTTAACTTTGTCCTCGTAATCGTTGAAGTTTTTGAACTTTCAAAACTTGGAACTAATGGAAGAAACTATTAGATTTTAAGCGTCGACAATGTGACTACGTCAGAGCGACTACCTGCTTTAGAGGTAAAGCGCACGGGGAGTTAATTCGATGGCCCTGAGTTCGAGTCTCGACGCAAAAAAATACTGATTGAATACTTTTTTACAGGTCTATGCTATGGTATAATATTGCAATGTCGTTACAAACAATGCGAGAAAGTATCCGTTGTTGAAGCACCTCTAGTTTTAATAAAAAATATTTTTCATGCTAGATAAACCCTTGCAGGCACTCGAAGAAAATAGAAAAATATAAATTCACAATCCTTAGTATTCACGACTACATATTTTAGTAGTATTCAATATAAGTACATCTCTGAAGCGTGAAACGTAAAATCTTGCCATTAAGTAAAATGTAATTTTCAGATCAATGTCATAAATTCAAGGTCATTAATAGGTGAAAATAAAGTATCACTTTTTCATTTGCCCTCCACATTATTTTCGCTGACCGAGAATATAGACTTTAAGAAAATTATCCACCTAAAAACTTCTTAGGAGAAAAATAATTTTCTTTAATATTTTAGAAAACATTCTTAATCAAGAATAATTTAGTATATAAATTATCTTATTGCATTTGTATCTTTTGATATCAATAATTTAATTGCTGAAACCAGGTGGTTTCATTCCGACGAATTGCATGGTGCGTTGTTCGCCTCATAGAATGGGAACGTATTCCTTCCGCAATCTTTAAAAAAATCTATGAGATGTTAAATTAATGTTAGGTATTAATTAAACGAAATATGACATATTTTACAGTCAGTAAATCCCATACATTAAAACGTGGTAGAAATCAGTTGCATTGCGTGAAATATCCTCCTATATCTTTGCAGAGCTAAGAAAGAATTCAATTGCTTCAAAGAAAAACAACGAAAAAATTGAACCCATTTTTTACTTGGAAAGATTGTTAAACTGTCATAGTATTGGGTACCTATACTAAAGCTCTTTTAAATAATTGGCTTTGTAAATAAATAAATAAAAGATGCATTGAACATATGCATTAGATTTGCATACGCATTACTTGTATATACGATGCCTCCCGAAGAGTAAGATTCATTTCAGTTAGTTTAACATTCATCGACATTGCAAAATGAATGCCTTGGGTTACCTCCCATGGAACAGACAGATAAAAAGTTGAAATGCAGATTAAATTCACGCTACGTAAAATGAAATTCTTTTCCATCACCACTGTATTTAAAAAGAAAAAATCAAAACATTTTCTATAAAAGAATTACTTACCTGTTTATAGCCGGAAGCGAACCTAGACAGCTCCAATTAACTTCATACCTGCAACAATAAAACATTATTTTGAAGAAACCGTTAATGCTTCGGGATAAAGATGCTGGATTGTGATAAAATGCAAAAAAGAACAATACAATTTTATTTTTCACAGAAATCTGTGAACTCACTAAGCAAATCGTTAAGTTTCTTAATTAATCATGAATAACTAAATCTGTGTACCTTGCAAGAAATTCGTTTTACCGATATGAGGTAATGATACTGGTACCATGTATGCACATTACTGATAAAAATGATTATCATGTAACTTCTATGATCTTTAAACATGCGAGGTGAAATATATGATAGTATCGAGAAATATAAACGTATACAGCTTTCTACATTCACATCTTCTACGTACGTAGTAAAGTGAAAAAAATATTGTAGTACTCCAGCGAAAAGTGGCGAATTTGTGACAGAAAAACTAGAATTGTTGGTCTCTGATATCGAAAAAGTCGATAAACATATTTCCTATATGTAGCGAATTTCTTCCCCTAACGACTTGGTGTAGTCAGAATCCGCGTTTTTTGGATCTTTGATACCAAAAAAATTGGATGCTAACAAAACGTCTAACCGTTTGTGGTCAGCACACGCCAAAACCGTTCAGACGATTTTCTTCAAAAATTGACATGTACTGAACGATCTTGCCGAACTGAAGACCCTGCGATTTCACAGAGTTATTTGATTTTTTGGAGGTATTTCACATCAACTCTAAACAACATTTTAAAACTTTACTCAAAGATGAGCCGGAGTCTCCGTACAACTACAATATTTTAGGGAGGGACTTCTTTAATGAAATCTGTTTTTCAAACATATGTCTGTATACAAGGTCAGGTGTAATATTCCGAAAGTATGAAAATGTTTGCGTAAGTTTACAAAACAATATTCATAACGTTTAAATAAATATTTTTCGTAAAACGGCTCCAAATTGCTTTCATTTTTTCTGGAATAGAGCAAAATATGCAAAACCGTAATACTGGACACTTGCCATATTTTGAGAAAGTTCTTGGGTGACGAGCTCAACTGAACTCAACTCAAATACCGTTCAACCAAGTGCGCAGGGTCAGTGATTGCCGAGCTAATGTGTATGTGGGAGTGGTGAAAGTGTTACGGTAGTGGATGGTTTATGTTATATAATATACGTAATTTCTATTTCATTTGTGGTCTTTTATGTAAATTTTAATTGTGGTCAGATGAAGCAATGTGTCCATAGTTTGTAATGTAACGACTGGAATGTGAATTTCGATGTAATATGTAACGTCCTACATCGCTGAGAAAATAATAATAATAATAATAATAATAATAATAATAATAATAATAATAATAATAATAATAAGTACGCACTGCTCAAGAACAAAAATTATCTCTGAAATAAATTATGAATTTTAACAAAATGAGTAACTAATGAAGTTCCTGTGAATGAAATGATACCATGGGCACCTCTCACATCGCCGCTGGCTGCTAAATATTCACTGTCTGTTACAGGAAGACTTTTAACATAAAATTGTTAATTTTATTGTGACAAGGGGCCTTGTGTAAGAAACAGACTCTTCAGAGGTTCTGTGTAAGAAATAGACTTTTTATAAAGAAACTATTTACATCAGCACAAGAGCTGTAGATATGATTTAAAAATACTGCTGCCAAAAGCTGCCGATTTTGAGTTTTTTGCGTAGCGTTTTTTGAGTAACCAACAAATTGGTTAGTGCATTAAGACGCGTCTCCTCTACTTCACATCAACATTATAAGACACGATGAAATTTAGACATAAACTCATTAAACTGACACCAATTAACTTCAGCCTCATTTTCTTACCCCGCAAAATGTGCAAATTTCTAGATAAAATCGTTAGGAAACCGCCAGAGATGGATCGGGGCTGAAAGTTCTGTGCAGAGAACAGAACCAAAGTGACCTTAAGTATTTCCGTTCAATCAACAATTTTTGAGCACCTGATATGCCCGATGCATTATCTATGAAACAACGTATGGTTACAGTTTCTTTGGAAATTGAGAAAGTATATGAAATATAAATATTACTTTGTGTTCTCTCACGTTTGGAAATAAAAATCAACGAGCTAAACGTCATTTAAAATTTCCTCAAGCATAGATTCTTCAGGAATAGGTTGGCATGACAAAACTTGCCAGCCTGTAGAGACGATTAGCGAACTGCCTGAAGGGTTATTTTTAATTGCCTTTTCTCAAATGCATCAATAAAATCAGCACATTCAACTCTCTTAGACGACTATCTTGAAACATATTACTACCACCAGAAGTTGTACCCAGATGTATCAAAATGTGATGGGAAATCTCGTTAACCAGTCATGTTCACTACATCATCAATTAGTATATCATGCCTGATTCATCAAATTTATGGTCACCAGAGCCATTAAAATGCCTAAACTTGGCTCTTGACACTTTTGTCACCGCGTCAATGTCAAGCGCGTTATCATCATTCGCATCAGGGCTATGCAATTCATAGTATTCTCAGTTACTACAAATTGCTAACGTTTGGTGGGCTTAATAATCTTAATAAAATTCAAAGTTGAGAATACAGGAAGATATTAATTGGTAGATTCGACTATAAAAGAACCTTATATACGGAGAAGATAAAACAAGTTTTATTTACAAGCCCACGATTACTACACTTTCTCTTCTCACGAAGGCGAGAAAGTAAAATGAAGTAATTAACGGACGAATAAGCATTATTTGACTCTCATGATGAAAGAGAACTTTTAGACAGTATAAACCTAATTTCTGTAATATCGCAAAGACATAAACACGTTTATAATAAATTTTGAGCACCTAGCAAAAACAATTTAATACCTGGGAAGTACAGATGTAAAATGTATCGCAATAAAATCCCAAAGTATACATAACCCAATCATTGTAAACATTTCTGACTTCACATCATAGAGACACATCGAAAAGGAATATTCAAATAACATATTGCTACCACAAATTAATATATATGATTTTTAATTACCAAATCAGAAATGGTAGTGAAGTTACCCTGATATGATTATTTCCCTACAGAGAAATCTAAGGTAATGATCCATCAGATGTAACAGCAAAAATATTACAAGTTTCTGTAATATTAAGAAAATGCGAAAGATTGGACTCATAATTTAATGTAGAGGACTTTATTGCTACCAATTATTTTAATACTAGTTTCCTGATAAAATAATAGAATGAGCACGCCTTCTACTAAATCGGAGCGATGCACACTATTTTTGCGGTTTTGTGGAAGAAAGTACCTGGTAGGTGATGTGTTCTCATCAAAGCTCTCGAAATTCAATGAAATCCTGAAAAATGGAGTTCTAGGAGATATAATATCTGAAAAATTACCTCGGTGACTGGGAGCAGTGGTATCTATTAACTATGCTCAATTAATTTCATGTAGCTTTGCTAGAACCGTTTCCTGTTTCACGTGTGTTTGGGGACAAAAATAAATCGTCCACATTAGATATTTTAGGAATATACACGGCTTTTCATTGCAACAGCACATATTATTGTTAAATAATTCTTCTTGATTTAAAAAACGATCTAAAATTACTCTTTGTTTCATATGCAACTTAAATTTTACATTAAAGTTGTACAATAATGTAAAATTATGTAAATGAGGGTAGTCGCCTTTAATTAAAGTTGTTAAAATACGATCTTAAATAAATAAACATTAAAAACAACATCAAATATCGAATTGTTTTTTTGGGGGGAGGGAAATAACTTTATTTTCAAAATTTCTTACTTGATTAAAAAGTCACGCTCATTACATTGCCAAATGTGACAAAGGACTGTAGAGCAGTTAAATAAGTTAAGAGATGTTAACACATATTCAGAATTAAATGAAACCCACTATTGCCCTTACATATAACACTGCCAATAAGAGTTACTGCACTTAGAAATAATATTTGAATCGTTTTTGAAAATAAAAAAAAATCAAATTAATTGGAGAACAAATTTAAAATATTTTATGATAATGTTAGATTTTAATAAACATTTGTAGCGAAACTGGTAATACCTTCCTACAAAAAATTGGTAATTGACAAGAAATTTCATCTGTAACACAAATAGCAACCAACGTAAAATAAATTTTACTATCACATACTATCAAATATACTTTAAGGCAATATTACGCACTATTACTGAACTATCCAATGAAATACAATGCTGTAATGCTCACACGTAAGTAGTGAATAGTAATTGTTCCACGTCATTGAATCGCATCTAACGTAACACTAATGCACAAATTATTCGTGCACCTGTCCCGTGCGTCTTCTGTGAGACTACCCTAAGTTCACAAGACGAGACTCACACTAGTCATGAGACGTCAGAAGCAGTGGTTTCATCTAAATATTGCCACATGAAACGTATATTATTGAGACTATTAATGGCGGAGTGGTCAGCCTTAATATTCAATATCGTGCGGCGCCTGGGCCATTACGAGCTTCCATCTTCAGGCCTACACGTCTAACACGCGCATGCATACGGTTTATGTTTCGTGTTGATGTCTGGGGAGAGAACGGACTCCAAGGAGTTGGATTGAATAATCCCCTCGGGGTCCCCGAGGCATATCAACAATACTACACTTTTGTTGAAAATCAATTTTCTAAATTTGCTTAGCACCGTAATGTGAAATTGATTGTAAGAACGCAAGTTGGAATTTAAGGTCCAGTTGAAACGATTTTTGGAACTACATAAATCGATATTACATTTTCAGTGACACCTACTGTACTTCCGTTTTTAATTAAAATCAATCTCAAGTTTATTACATCAGTGAAAAATCACTGTAAATTTACTATTTCCGAATTACAGTTTCTTATCGGATTGGTGAAACATTTTAAGTGATGCAGAACATTTGCACTAATTACATTTAAATAGGTCACATATTGGTCAATAGATTTAGTAAAGAAATCAGCTTCTCACTTTTGTAGTTAGAACGCAAATACTACTTTTTTAATTATAAATTTTAATTAACATTTCATTACCAATTTTTTATTGCGACGCTTTCAATAG